TGTTGCCCGCGGCCCCGGGGATGTTGCCGGCCCTCCAGGCAGCACCTTCCTTCTTTTCCCCCTTTATTTTCCCCCCCTTTTTACATTATTTTTCATTATTTTTCTTTCGGGCCGTGACAGCGCAACCTTGTTGGTGAAACAGGGCTGACGCTGAGGATTTCAGCAACGGTGACGGGAGAGGAAACAAGTATTTAATTAAAAAAAAAGAAGGAAGAAAAAGGCGCTGCAATGGAAGGTGGTGTTTCCCCGCTGTCAGTGCCGTGGAAATGCTGGTTATTCCGCCCTGGGCTTCAGACAAAGCTTTTCCTCCCCCAGATGGTGCTTTGACCTTTATTTGGTTGTTTTATATATTTTTTTTCTTGTGCAAACTTCAGTGCATACTGTCATTCCCCCTCCCCAAATTAAATGTATTTATAGATGTCTGCAGATTGATGGCTCTTGCCTGCGGCACCCTGGGGACCACAAGTATGTGTGAATGTCACTGGAGGGCCCTCCGTGCTGACATCCCCCTGCTCTCCTCCATCCTGTGCGTGGCTTTTGGGGGGCAAAACCCCCCAAACTCAGCTTGGCCAGGGAGGCCTTCGGTCCCCATGCAGCCCTGATTTGCAGCAGCCTGGCTCCATGAGTCTGATTTTGGCCTTAGGTGCTGCAGTTCATGATGTGCTTCCACCTGCCTGGTCTGCACATTGCCGAGGAGAAACGTGAGGTCTTGTTGGCTTGGCTGTTTGGTTAAAAAATGCTCTGTCTGCACCCACAAGAGTCAAAACTTTCTTAGCCTTATGGTGAAAAGCAGCAAAGCAATTTCTGTGCAAGCTTCGGAAAACAGGAACATAAGCGTGCATCTCCAAAATCCCAGAACCTGGGAATGAAATCCCTCCTCAGAGGCTAAGAGAAATTGGAACTGATTCCTTTTTGGTGGTAACTGTTGTAATCCAGTGGGAAGTAGTTGGAACGACGACCAGCTTGCAGTGTTGGGATCATGATGTGAAACCTTTCAAGGCAGATCCTGTAATGCTGGTTGCAAATTAAATACCGATTTACTTAGGGGTGACTCCTGCCGCCATCGTAGCATCACGTCTGCATTAAATAGCGATATTGGCGTCTGCTCCCCGGGGTTGTTGCTTTTTGTGGTTAGAAAGCCATTAAGGACGAGCGCTGTTTTTACAACAACTCACTCACGCCAGCACCACCTCGGGTAAATATTTATTTAAGGGATTCAGCCCCTTTGCTTTTGCTGTTGGAGAGCAAAACGTTGGCACGAAGGCTGCCTAAACACGCATGATTGCGCGGGGACCCACCGACTCGCTGCTTGTAAAATGGTTTGCCGAAATCCAGAGGAAATGCCTCCTTCTTGCAGCCCTTCTCCCGGTTGCCTCCCGTGATATCAGCAGCTTTCCTCTAGCCCCCTTGCAAAGGGCCTTCTGCAAACTGCCCCCCTGCAAAGCAGCACACGTGGACTCGATTCATTAACAAGCCAGAAATGCTTCTGCCTGGTGTTTATTTTTTAATAGAGAAGCATAAGCCAGGGCAGGAAATGTGCTGCCTTAAAATAAATCTACAGAGCCTCTACTTAGGCGGAAAAATAACCAGAGCAGCCTAAAAGGCCAGTGGCAGCAGTTCATCTAAATGTCTTGAGTTTTCCTGTTTTCACTGAATTTGTAAGCCCAGCCCCTGCAAGCTTTGTGGGGGGTACCGGGTTATAAATCACAGCTTGATGCTGAACTTCTCAGATTTTTTTTCTTTTTTTCTTCTCCTGATTTCTCACTGTGCATTTGTTTTTTTCTCTCTTTCTAGGGGGAGCTGGAGAAACTAAATCAGTCTACAGATGATATCAATCGCAGAGAGACAGAACTGGAGGTACAGACTTCACCTCATCCTTTCGTTCTCCCTGTGTGCGGGCTGCGCTTGCGTGCGGCAGGGCGATATTTTTTTTTAGCAGACCCTACTCTGACTTGTTCCATCCTGAGTGGTAATTTGGCAGCCAGGACCTGGTAGATAAATTTCACATGTGGAGGCTGTGCAGCGATGCTGGCGGTGTAAAAGCCGAAAGTGGAGCGCTCAGCCCCCCGCTGCCAAGCCCTATTTTTAGCTTGTGAAACTAAACTTAGTCAAGTTCTGTTTTGAGTGTCACTGGTTTAGGTTCGTGATCTTGTGATCTTCGGCAGTGAAAGTGCGTTTGGTTAAAACATCTTTAATCATATGGTTACAAGCCAGGATCTTTCCTGTTGTTTTCACTGGTGGTGTTTTTGTTTTTTTTTTTTTTTGGTCATTGCATTCTCCATATGTAAGGTAATTAAAGGAAGTTGGAAAGTCAAAGGAATTGAAAGAAGATTTGTGAGTCAAAGGAGAAGGATTTCTTGGGCATCTAAAAATCCCCAAGAGTAAGCTTTGCAGAAGTTGTTTTTAAAGCCCCAAATTTGAGCATCAAGTGAATGTGCGGTTACAGTAAAATTATCCTAAAGTGCTACTTTGAATACAAAGTATTCATAGTAACATTTGAAATTTCAAGGGAAGCTTCAAGTATTTTAAATACCGAATAAGAGCACAGTGAAGGGGAGTGCAGTACGAAGATGCTTAAAAAAAAAAAAAGTCCTCCCATACATGTTTATTCTGCATCTTAAAAATGCCAAAATCTGTTGGTTTTTAGATCTGGCTGCTGATAGCTTGAAATCTGCTGGGCTAATTTGTGTGAGTGGGGCAGACCATGAGATGGTTACTTGGGCATGGGGTGGTTGTCCACAGCATTTTAAAGGACTGGGCTGTGACACCTGAGGAACCAAACAGAGCAGGGACAGGCAATGGGGTCACCAGCTTCTGTGGCCACTCTGCAGCCCTCCCTGGCAGAACCGAACCCTGCTGTTTCCTTCAGCAGACAGATGCTCCCCACTTGTTTCCATTCTCTGTCCTTTTCTGCACGTAGCTGGCAGTGAATTTATGGGTGAATAAACTTGGTGGAATGGAGGACTGTTTGTTATGCAAAATTAAACTATATTTCAGCAGCAAAACGTGTTCAATGTCTCTGAATTTTATGAAGGAACATTAAAAAATATATATACTAGAGGATCTGTTAAGTCACAATGGTCAATTAAATGGTTTCCAGGTTTCTTCAGGAGCAGTGCTGGCTTGACAATATATCTATCTTTTTCAGTCTCTTTATTTCATGTTGAGGTACTGAAATTGAAAGATAATGCTATGGATAGTTGCCTGAATTTCATTAATCTTGTCATAACCTTGCATTAAGAGTGTATTATGAAGCAGATGGAATAGTAATAATAATGCAAATGCAGGCTCATGGCATAAGTCCCAATGACTAAGACGGGACTTCGTGGTTTGCTTAAAATTATTTATGTGCTCAAGTGTTTATGGTACCTGGAGATTTGTAGCTAGTCTGCACGTGACACATGCAGCTCCAAATGCCAAAGTCCTCCCGTGTCTAAACCCCACCAGCACCTCTGCAAGAAGTCTTTGCATGTTAGCTTTTCTTTTTTATTTATTTGTTACTGCTTACCTCACTTAATGTGAGAAATAATTTCAGATATGCCAGAAAACCATTATATGGTGCTGTCCACCTCTGTTCTCCTCAGCTCTGTAGGTAGTAATTATGATAAGCAGTACTTGATGCAATTAAATTGAAAGGTTATGGTGTGTCTCCATGAATGTTTCTTCACTTTTCATCCAAAATCCATCCGAAATTGGATTGAAGCCAGTTTGTGCTATCAGGCAGCCGCATAATTGTTCACCTGTAAAGATTTTCATTACTTTTGATCTGCTTAAATTCTGAAGTACCAACATTGGCTGGTGTAAAAGCAAACCTTAATTTACCTGCTCAGTGCATTTTAAATGGACTCGACATTTTTCTAGGGGAAAGACATTTTACACAAAAAAACTCCTCCATGGTTAGAAGAAAAAAAAAAAAAAACAGCATTCATGCTGTAGGCAAGAGACCTCTGCAAAGCAGCAATACAGGACTAAATGCAGAATTTGGAAGGAAGAGTTTGGAATTGAGGCAATTCTCTTTCCAAGACCTCTAGAGCCCTTGAACGCTGCTAGAAAATGTGGGCCTCAGGGAAAACCCTGTTGGGTTTGCATGTGGAGATTTGCTATTTTGACTCTTCCTGGCTGCTTTGGGTACCTCTTGTTGCCATTCCCTAGCTTGTACTGTTGCTGCTATTGCAGACTATTTCATTAGAGAAAGAAAATAATATTTTTTTAAACAGACAATGGAGTTATGTTTATCCTGATCTTGTGTTATTATTTCCTTCATATTTTTAGTCTCTGATCATAGTTGAAACCTTAACGGACAGGCTATTTCCAGGAAAGAAGCAAACAGCGTCTTGTGGTATCGCTTTGTGGTCCGTGCATTTGCACCGCTGAACCTTCTCAGAATAATCTCAAAAAGTAACTGGAGGTTTTGAGGAGAAGGTATTTCTGTGAAGGAAATTCAGAGAACAAAACAAAACAAAACACTGTACTGTCTGATAAGCAGGAAGAGTAACCTTGTGGTGTCTAAATTCTGTGTGTGGTTTTAGACTTCCTGTAGCTTTGCACAACTGGGCTGCTGAAAGTCAGGTCCATTGACAGGAAAAAAAAAAAGCTGCAGGTGGAAATGCCTCTGAAAAGTCAGGCTTTTACTCCTGTGCTTGCAGGTTCACATCTGAAAATGGAAGCAGAAGGGCTTTTAATTAATGGGAAAGTTATGGGGCTAAATCACTGGATGCTTCCAGGATTCAGAGATGCTCTGGTGGCAGCCAGAAACATGTCAGTATTTGACTGATGGAGGTTATATTGGAGCTGGCTGTGCAGAGAGGTGGTAAAAGGAGTTCTCTTTAAATGGGTGTCTGCCTTCATTTTTGAAAAAAAAAAAAAAAAGAAAAGAAAAGAAGATTCTGTACCCAAGCCACTATGTAAGAGGTGTTGGTTGATGTGTGGCATGACTTGAAAAATATGGTGAAATCATCTACCTCTGTCCTTGTCATTTGTTTTGAGTGTTATGTGTAATTACTCCTTTTTTGCTCTCTTGACCTATTGCATTAAATCCTGGAGGAATATGCTGACCTGATGATGCTCACAGGCTCTTGAGGACTTGCGGAGCTGATAAAGGGCACCAAGTGGTTGGTAGTTATGTGTTGCTTTAATGTATTGTCTGTTAATGAATCTTTAAATAGGCTTGATTGAAAATCCATAATGCTGCTCGAAGGAGTGTGACACTGAGCATTACTGACGCAGCAAAAAAGACGATAAGGGTCCTCTGAGGAATTTGACATGTAGCTTTCCTAATGGCCCGCCTGGCCTCTAAAGCCACTGTGAAGGAGTACAGGAAATGCCTTGCAGTGAAGATGCAACTTTACTTTGTCCAAATGTGACTTAGAGCTGTGTCTTGGTGCTTGAGGGTTTTTTTTTTTTTTTTCCTGTTTGTTGGAAATGCATCTCCTGAACTCGAGTCAGGAACTGCAAATGCACTTAGCAAAGTCCGTGACCCACCCAGCTAGCCATATGTGTCTGTCCTAAAAACACAGCTCAGATATCTAACAGATTCCTGTGGGACCCTCCAGGCAGCATTACAAGGGGGAAGTACAGCGCATACCATCCAAATGACCGCTGGAATTCCAGCAATCCCAAATGTGTTTTGTGTTAGAGAGCATTGCTGGGACTGCAAGCTCACCAGTGTCTCTAACACTGTGTGATGACTGCACAGGGAAACTAGATCTGAATAGTGTTTTCCTTCAGCCCTGCTTTGCTGCAAGCAGGGACTGAGCAGGAGCAACTTGCCTAGATGCTCTTGGCCAGATCTGTAAGGTTTCCTGGTGCTTTTGGCCCTGGACTTCTCTTAAAGGTCACATGGATAGAGGCAGGAGAAGCTCCAACAGCCACCGTGTCCTTCCTCTCTGGAGCTTGGCAACGTTTGAGCCCCTTGGAAGAGGAAGGGCTGTTTTATTGCAGACTTGCTCTCCTTGCGATGCTGCCAACGGGCCTGTTTGAGGGGTTCAAGTTTTCAGGAAGGAACTCGTCCCACCCAAGGGTTTCAAGTGACCTTCCCGTAGCTGCCGTCTCCAAAGTTTTTGTGTTTTCCAGCCCCCTACATAGGAGCGTGCAGAGAAGGGAGGAGGAGCTCGCTGACTGGCCTCGGTGCTGCCTTTCGGGCCGTGCCGTGTGTGCGTGATGAGTCTGTGTCAGCGGCCCTTTCGGGTGTCTCTAGTCTGCCTGCTTCTATAGGAAGTGGCTCTTGTGTGTGGTCTTTGTTGGTTTTCCGTTTGCTTTTGCCTGTGGATGAGTAAGGAAAGGGTTTTTCCTCTGTGCTAGCTCCGGAAAGATTTTGTGGCCCGAGTGAGTCAACGGGCTTTACAATGTGGCTATGAAGCAGAGATGGGCTTCTTGCTAAAGGGGCAGAGGCAGAGTTAGCCACAGAAGTGTGTTTTGGAGGGACCTCCTCTGGCTTCCCCTCCCTCCACCCCTCTCTTTCAAAAGGGCTAAAAGACAAAATACAGTAGCCTCAGTCTGTAGCAGTCTGCAAGCTTCGAGCCACTTCCAAATACTCATTTTAATTCTTCTGAGATGGCAAACGAGCAACTCTGCGATAAGCAGATGTCTTCTCCCTGCTTAAAAAAAAAAAAAAGAAGTGGGTTGTTTACTTAACCCCTTCCTCACACTTATTTTTGGAGCTTGGAGGCTTATTCTGATTTATTCGAACTGCTCAGGTACCAAACAGATACTTAAAAACGTCCGTAACTTCCCCAGTCTTCCGAGGTCCCTCCGGGCGAGGAGGGCAGGGTTGAGCGAAGGAGATGATGCTCTGATGCTCTCGGCCAGGCAGCCGCCCCGTTCTCACACACCACCCAACTGCTTGGAAATTCACACTTATTTGGATGGGCAGAAATAGCAATTTGCTTGTCGTGAGGCATCTGACACCAGCTCGTTGCCATTGCTCGTCAGAAAGGCAGCACGGGCGTGCTCTATCCTCCAGCAGTTGCATTTTATGTGCAAAATGGTAATTTTGTTCCTTTCCTCATGGGAGAGTGGGGTCCCCTAAATACGGCTGGATGAACGGCCTGTTGTTGGTGTGGGCCCTCGTGGCATTTCGGTGCCGCTGCTCAGCAAGCGGCTGGAAACAAAGTCTGCCTTTGATAACAGACTGTGACAGCAAAAACATGTGTGGGATGGAAGCCTAGCCTGCTCCCTAAAACTGCCCTTGTGCTAAGGGCTTCCGGGAGAAAAGGTTATGGGGAGAGGAGTCTCGCAGCCCTAGGAAAAGATGCTGAAAAGTAAACTGCAGTTGTCCATGTGAGATGCACTAAGTGCTGGTGATTTTTTTTTTTTTGGTCTAGCCTGTTACAATTTACCTGCTCTGTGTATGTATTGCTTTCCTATAATGATGAGAAAAATATCACCAGGTGGTTTTTTTTCCCCCTTAAAACCCAGAAATGGGGAGTTTGTGCCTGAGATCACATACCTTCAGTAATAAGTAGCCTTTCTGTTGGGAAAGTGTCTCTTTGGAGGGACTGACAGAGGAAGCCAGAAATTACTTGGGCTTTGCATGCACTAGCTAAAGGTCTGAATGCAGCAGGAGTTTGCTGGTTAAATAGTTGTACTCCTGGGGAAGCACCTCATGCTTCTTGGCTAGGTGAGCGGCTTGAAGACGGGACGGCCGACTTGATACAAGTGCAGGACTTCCCTAAAGTTGGGGACCACAGCGGGACTTCACCAATGTGTTGTCACCGAACTGCTTGGTCTCTGAAGTGAGCATCCTTGGAACAAACACCCTTGTGAGGATTCATAGCTTAGAACTACTGCATGTGTGGGGTGGTGGAGTGTCTTGATGGTAGAAGCACAGCAAGGAGTTCTGCTGAGGGAGCTGCCCTCTGCTCAGGGGTGATGGAGCCATGGTTCCCACAGAGAGCTGCTCTCGCTGAGGCCAGGAGAGCTGACCTGGTTCAGATCCAGGCGGCTGGTTGGTGTGAATGCACTGAGTTGCCATGGTGGGACTTGCAAAAGGGATGAGGATGTTTAACCTGGCAATGGCATGCCCCTCCTTGGCAGGGCTAATGGACAGTAAAAGCAGCACATCCACAGTGCGGGGGCTTGGGAATGGTGTTATCCCTTCTTGGCCTTGACATCTTGTTGAGGTGTCCAGAGGAGGTGGCTGGAAAGCTTTGGACATGACAGATCCAAGTAGAGCACGAGCTTGTTCTCTCGTGCAGAAGGTGGTGGAGCCTCTGGGCTTCTCTTCCTGATGGTCAGGTGCTGGAGGATACACAGGCCTTTCAAAATGCTGCATGTGGTGGACGATGCTGGTCCAGTCTTGGCAAAAATGAGGATGGTTGGCCTCGGGTGAAGCCTCAGATTTCCTAATTGTCATTTTTTGGGGAAAATAAGAGGTGCAACTTTACTCCTGTGTGTTCTTAAGCTGAAGCTTCCTATTTTGTGGAAGTGTAGTTATCGTGTTGAGTGGTGCTGTGCTTTGGGTTACAGCTGTGTATACTGGCACTGGTGAGACCCGTGCCTGAGGTGCCAGGGGGTCTCCTCAGACTTGCTATAGGTGGGACAGCCCTGTGCCTGGGGCTTTTGCTTGGCTTTTGCTCTGTCTTTCTAATTCCAGGTGGAGACCAGTTGTTGTTTTCCCGTGGGATAAAAGTACATGTAATTAGTACAGGAATAAATCTGGGCTGTGCCTCTGTACTCAAGATTTGTTAGTGATAGTGCCAAGTTGCTGTCGACAGGTCTCTTTGTTCCAAGCGCTTGTCTTATGGACATTGGAATGGGGCTTTTTTGATATATCATTACATAAGGCTCCTTTTGCTTGATGCATGCACACATTTATATTTTTCTTAAACTATTGACTATCTACAACTAGTATCCAGCTATGCAGCTTTCATGGAGAAAAGGAAAAACAACCTCCCAGGCACTCTCACTTAAAAATAATTTTTTATTCTTGTGCTTGTAGGAAAATGATTTTTGATAAATATATTTCCACACTTCATTGTTTTTCTTGTGTTATAGTAGTCATGCTTGCAGACTCACTTCAGTTTCTGTGAAACTCGTTTTGAGCAGTGAAGCACATATCCTTATACCTTAATTAGCAGTGCTCAACCTTTTGTCATTGAGAAACTCACTGACTTGCTACCTGTTGCTTGAGAGATGCACTTTATACTTTTTCTAAGCAAAGAGGTTATTTACTGAGTTGGAGTTAAGGGAATACCAAATTAATGTGGGTTTAACTCCCCATTTGAACCCTTTTATTCACCTGAACATTTCCTTAGAACAAATAGGAATTTCTTAAGACTGAAAAGCTATTTGCATTGGACAAAAACATTACCAATCCTGGTTAAGGTTTTAGGTGTCACTGAAAAGCAACCAAACCAGATTTTACTGAACTGCGGTTCTCTTTCTGTAAAACTCATGCCTTGTTGCAGTTGTTGCCTGCTTCTGTGAAGGCAGAGGCAGGTTCCAATAGATTTTAATTCCTCCAATGAAGAAACAGCTGTGCATTCCAGAAATCCTCAAAAATAATGCCAAAAACCCGCGGAATTAGAGCACTTCTTCAAACCAGCTGCTTACTGATAGTCAGCATGCTGCTCCAGCAGTCTGCCTAAATCCTGCTCCCTAATTGGGATTACACGGCTTGTCAAGAGCTCACGCGGCCCCTTCCTCCCGGTCTCCTTACATCCAGGGCCAGAGCCCAGGCTGGATTTGCATGTCTCCTGGTCTGATGCAATTACATGGATACAGAATCTGGTTTGGATGCCAAGAGTGGAGTCGGGATCACTTTGCTTAAAAGGTGTGGGAATTTCATTGGAATGGAAAAGGTATTTTAGTTGCTTTAGCTACTAACATAGTGAGGGCACAGCCAGTCTGGAAATAGTTGGAATATAGTTTTCTTAAAAATAATAAGCAATGGCAATCAAATGGAAAGTGGAAATCTTTCCCCATTCACAAACCAGATATCACTGCCCTGTCCAAAGAGTCAAGTCATTCCTG